GGAAGAATCATTAACAACCTGAGATATGCTGATGATACAACTTTGCTTGCTGAAAGTGAGGATGACTTGAGGCACTTACTGATGAAGATTGAGGAACACAGTCTGCAGTATGGATTACATCTCAATATAAAGAAGACAAAAATCCTCACAACTGGACCGACCAATAAGCAGCATCATGATAAACAGAGAAAAGATTGAGGTTGTCAAAGAATTCATGTTGCTTGGTTCTACAATTGAGGCCAATGGAAGCAGCAGTCAGAACATTAGACGATGTGTAACACTGGGTAGGTCGGCTGCGAAGGAACTCTTTCAAGTGCTGAAGAGCAAGGATGTCTCCTTGAGGACTAAGGTGTGCCTGACACAGGCCATGATATTTCTAATTACCTTGTATGCATGTGAGAGCTGGACAATAAATAAGGAGGACCGAAGAAGAGTTGATGCTTTTGAGTTGTGGTGCTGGTGAAGAATGTTGAAGGTACCATGGACTGCCAAGAGAACTAACAGATCTGTCCTGGAAGAAGTGCAGCCGAGATGCTCCTTGGAAGGGAGGATGGTCAGACTTCATCTCACCTGCTTTGGTCATGTTGTCAGGGGGGACCATTCCCTGGAGAAGCATGTCATGCTTGGTAAGGTGGAGGGTCGACGAAAGAGGGGAAGGCCTTCAATGAGATGGATTGACACAGTGGCTGTGACAATGGGCTCAAGTATAGCAAGGATCACAGAGCTGGCTCAGGGTTGGGCGGTGTTTCATTCTGCTGTGCATGGGGTCGCTATGAGTCAGAAGCGACTGGACGGCACCCAACAATACAACATATAGCACATATGCTGGTTCAGCTTTTTACAGATGTACAACTTATTGATACCAATTTGGTTGTTTTTAAAATGTCTGCTGCCTATCCCAGAACCTCCTTTTTTGCTTTTGCTCCACAGTTTCCTATATCCCATGTCTTTCTGTTCCTGGTTTATTCCTCCATTTTGCTAGAAGAAATTCTTAAGTAGTTTTTAAATAAGCATAAGTGAGAAATATATGTCCTGAGATATTTCATAGCTAAAATTATTTTTATTCTATCCTTTATACTTGATTGCTGCACCAAAAAAAGACGACGAAGAAGTGCTGCAGAAGACCTCTGTAAAGGGTTTAAGAGCAAAGATGTTACTTTGAAGACTAAGGTACACCTAACCCAAGCCGTGATATTTTCAATAGCTTCTTCCTATGCATGTGAGAGCTGGACAGTGAATAAGGAAGACTGCAGAAGAGTTGGTACTTTTGAATTGTGGTGCTGGTAGAGAATGCTGACAGTACCATGGACTGCTAGAAGAATGAACAAATCTGTCATGGAGGAAGTACAGCTAGAGTGCTCTTGAGGGGCAAGAATGGCCAGACCTGATCTCTCGTACTTTGGTCATGTTATCAGCTGGAGCAAATCCCAGGGAAAAAGTGTCATGCTGGGTAAAATAGAGGGTCAGCAAAAAAGGGAAGACCTTCAATAGGATTAGTTGACACAGTAGCTTCATGGATGGGCTCAACATAGCAAAGATTGTGAGGATAGCACAGGAGTGGGCAACGTTTTGTTCTGTTGTACACAGGGTCACTGTGAGTAAGAACTGACTTGACCACACCTAACAACAAAAACATACTTGATCGAAGGTTTGATTCCAAATTGAAAATCACTTTCCATCAGAATTGTGGAGGCATTTTTCCTGTGTCTTCTAGCATCCTGGGCATTGCCATTGAGAATTCTGATGCTGTTCTGAATCTCATTTGTAGGCACAGATGAGAGAAGTTATCTAGGTTTAGCCTTCCTTTATGTGTGTGTGAGTGTGTGTAGGGGTGAGGGGTGGTAGGCAGTATGTGGATAAGGCAAGATTAACAGAAGGAGCTGTGACCTGGAGTAGCCTGGTTTTAAATTTAGGAAGAATGCAGATGTAGCCTTTGGTTCTCATTCTCCCTAAAGAACCCCATTTGTCGGTTTGATGTCAATCTGCAGGAGACATTCCCTAGGCTCTAACCTAACATTGGTCTGGTCACATTTGTTAGGACACAGATAAAAGGATGATCGCCTCTGTGGTACCGTGGGTAGAGGCATTTGACAGGCTGGACTGACAGGGTGAACATGGCAGAGGGCTTGGGCAATCCCCCAGCTGGGCCCAGAGAAACAATGACTTGAGCATTGGAGCCAGCATGGCTCAGCCACAGTGTATGTGAGGAAGACGTTGAGATTCATTTAACTGCTGGATGAATATGAGTGATTGCCAAGTAAGTAGGGTTCCTGGTTGTATTAGTAAGAATACAACCCCCTGAACGAGGGGCTTGTTCAACTTTGCAATAAAGTGTTTCACGACTAGAGTATCTGGTTCTGATCTGGATATATATTATTCATTTAACAAATTCATTACCTTTACATGCTCACTTCAAATACCTCCTTTCTCAATAGTTTTCCTGGACATCTCCATCTCCAATAATTCATTTTCTGTTTATCTGACTCAGTCTCTGTTCACTCACTTACCACATCATTATAATACATATGTCTCTCTATATTGAGTCGAATTCCCCAAGGGACTTGGACAAATCACATACCCGTTGTGTTTGTTAACCTGAGATGAAGGTACCAGTCCTGGTTCCATCTGTCATCTGTACCCCTGGGGTTTGTAAAGAGGAGTTGTTGTATTTGAAGTACTTCATAAACAGCAAGTGGAAGATGTTGTTACTTTCTGTCCATTTGTTAACGTGGTGGGAAACAGCTTTGAACTGGTGGCCTAGTTGAGCAGTCCTGCATCTGTGTGACATCCCCACCCTGAGGTGTCCTGGACTGTTTAGTGGAAAAGGAAAAGCTTGCCTTTTATTCGTAAACTTCTTCAGCACTGGGAATTTTCCTTTCAGCATGTTCTTCTGCCTCTCTTCCCTGGAGTCCATAAGCCATGGCTTCTCATTGCAGTGAGCTGCTGCATAGCTGCATAGCTGCATCCTTTGCCACTCCAGAGACTGAGGATTGAGGAATCAGGCAGGACCTGCCTGGGGCTCCTTGATGCACCAGATGTGGCCTGAATCTGGGATTTGGAGACCTGGGTGCCAAGAATTAACACTATATTAGGATGCAATTGATGGTACCAGGCTCCACCATGTAACTATCTTGTCATTGTAGACATTGGGACTGTTTATGTCATGTGGCAGGAGAGTGTCAAATTGCTAGGACACCAGTTTCCCTCTGCCCCAACCTTTCCAGCTCAAAATGTGAACGTTACAGAACAGACCATTATCAGTATCAGGGGAAGGCTGTGTAAGAAGTATTGCCGATCTTTTCCCACTTGCACAAATGCTGAATATTTTCATGTTTTTTTTTTTTCTCTCTTTTTAAAAATCTTTGCTAATTTTATAGGTGAAAATGCTTCTTGTAGTTTGTGTGTACAAAAGGAACTATCAGGATAGTCAGGAAAAGCTCATTAGTGAAGAGCTAGTCTTACGATTATGTAATGAGTATGAACTATTTCACAACATGCAGGGTGCTGATGCGGTCACATCTTTTATCTGCTCTTCTGACCCCCCACAAAAGAAAATAAAATGTCAGATAAGAAGTTGCACAACCTACTGAAGCGCCCCAGGGAGGCTGCTTTAGTACAAAAAGGGAAACTGGCCTGCCTCCCTGGTGCTAAAAAGTCATTGTTCCCCTTCTCTCTTCTGCATGATGGGGCTGTTGAATGCTGGCCATCTTCAGTATGAAGGACATGACAGCTCTGTTGGTCTAGGGCCTTGCACAGACCACTGAGGAGTTTCAGCACCAGACTAGGTCAAGGACATTCCAGGCCTGGGCTTCCTCTCCATTTCCACTTCTGGCCTTAGCCGTTGATCTCAGCTCCCACAAGTATGGGGTCCTGGCAGATGGAGCTCCCAACATCAATCACAGGCCATGGCCAAGCTGTCCCTCTCTTAGTGGCCTTCGTCTTTCTTTCAAGCCTGTTCTCTCAGCCTGCACTCCTTTTCTCAAAGCCATTTTACTCAAGGAGACTTGTTGCCATGTTGTGGCAACATGAGTCCTTAGCATCAAGTCTTGCAAAGCAGTTCAGGTGTCTAATTCTTCCCCTTCTCTAATGACCAGCCTCACATACCAGAGATTCAGTCAGATCTTGCTTCTTCAGTCTCTGGGCTGTGGATACCTGCTTATCCTGTATTTGCTTAACTGAATCATCCCTTAAGCTCAAAAACTCACTGAGTTTTTCATTGAGTTGGATTCGACTCATAGCAACCCCTCCTTGGGTTTCCAAGATGGTATCACTACAGAAGCAGCTTGCCCAGTCTTCCTTCTGGGGAGTGACTGGTGGGTTTGAACTGCCAGCTTTCTGGTTAGCAGTCAAATGCCTTAGGTACTACACCACCAGAGCTCCCGAATCCTCTTTAGGCATATGGAAAAGAAGGTTGACTTATTATTATTAAAATGCCATACTTTGGGGGAAATATGGCATAGCTGTACACTGCAGAGAATCTGGAAGAGACAGCTTAGATTGGAGAGAGGCCTGGCTATGGCACAGCATGCACATATGAATCATGGGATTTCCTGAGGGCCTTAAGCAATGGAAAAGCTGTTGAGGAGGGAGCAAGCAGCTGTTGACTACGGGGAAGAGACCTAATGTGGCTGTGAAATAACTCTTGGATGACCTTAAGCTTTGCTCTTAGCTTTTTGTTGTTGTACAGTCTATGCAACCAGGAGATTGGTGCTATGCATGAGATTCTGGCATCATTTATAGCAGTGGACTAGGTGGCTTCAAAGGATATCATCAAGTGTGAAATTCTATGAAAACAATCAAATTGAAGCCATGAAACTTTCCATCTCTGCATGAAATAGTGTTTTAAAGCCTTTAGTTGTGCCCAGAATTTGGCATGCTGTAGACATGCTATTTAAGATACTTCCTTTTGTTCTTCATTGATAGTTATCCCCCTTTTTTTAAGCTTTTTTTCTGGTTTATTTCCCTTCTGTCTTATACTCTACATCTTCTTCTCTCTCCAGCTTTTGAATAGAAAAGACAAGACTACCTTTGAGAAATTGGACTACCTGATGTCTAAAGAAGATAATTACAAACGGACGCGGGAATATATCAGAAGCCTGAAGATGGTTCCCAGTATTCCCTATCTAGGTAGGAATCTGAATTGGCTTATTATTTTTGGAGAAATCTGCTCAGTGTCAAGTACAGTGTTTTTAAAGTTTCTAGTTGAGAAATTGCCAGGAAACACCATGGGCCATGGATAAAGAGGCTATTGGTTGGCTCTTTGGATTGCAACAGGCTGGTGATACTTCCCAAGGATGAGAACTTGATGAGATTTTGAGACAAAAGATGTCCTGTCTCTTATATAGATGACAGTAAAGCCAAGGCCTCCAGGAGGGTCACAATTACAGTAGCAAGACTCTTACTGTCTCATCCATATTCTCCTGAACTGGAAGCCTGGGCCCAAACCTGTCTCTGTTCTGGATCTCTGGATATTATTAGAGTACTTTGTAAGAAATGTGAAAACAAGGTTATAATAACAATCTTTGATTTTTCTGAATAGAAATTAATGCATGTGTATTGTAAGGGATTAAGAAGAGAAGAAAATTAATATCATTTGTTATCCCACCTAGAGATGATCAATATTTTGCTCCATATCCTTTCATTCATTTTAGTAGATATAAAAATACACATTTTTACTCCTTTGTGAACATTGGAGCCCCTGAGTGGCACAACTGGTTAAATGCTGGACTACTAGCCGAAAGGTTGGTGGTTCGAACCTGTCCAGAGACACCTCAGAAGACAAGCCTGTCATTGTACTCCTGAAAGGTCACTGCCTTGAAAATCCTGTGGAGCAGTTCTACTCTGCACACAGGTGGTCACTACTCAATGGCGGCTAACGACAACAATCATGAACATTTAATGTCTTTATCTATGTTTCTGTGTTGTTGTTGTTGTTGTTATATGCCATGGAGTTGGACCTGACTCATAGCGAGCCCTCCTTGGGTTTCTGAGGCAGTGTCACTACGGAAGTAGATTGCCCCATCTTCCTTCTGAAGAGTGGCTGATGGGTTTGAACCACCAGCCTTCTGGTTAGCAGTCAAGTGCCTTTAGGCACTATGCTACCAGAGCTCCCAGTGTTTCTATAGTATAACTCAAACCCATCAGATGGATTTGTCATCATGGAATCTTCTCTCTGATACTAATCATTAAGTTGTTTCCAAGTTTTTGCTATTAAAATGCTGCATTGAACATCTGTGTTGCAAACACTATATGTATATAGTTAGGATTATATACAATCATAACTTTTTAATCCTTACCAATTTGATAGGTGAAAAATTCTCCATGTAGTTTGTTTCAGGGTTGTACTAACATTATGAAAAAAGTTTATATCTTTTTATAACTGAAATAACTTAATCAAAACAATTTTACTAGCAAGGGAAATTCAGGTTTCATAGAAGTGACTCCTTAATATTTTCAGGGACCCAGTGTATTTTTTAGAGATGCATTTTGACAACTTAAAATTTCTTTCATGGGCATTGTTTATTTAGATGTTCTAACTCTTTGGGAGTCAATTTGGAAAATTTATTTTTTAGTAGAAAATTGTCCATTTGATCCAGGTTTTTTAAATTATTAGCACAGAAAGTTTTTTCTTATTTAATTTTTGATCATAGAATTTTATATAGTAATCTTGTAAATTTCAACCTTCTATGTATATATTATTATATTTGCTTTTGTATTCATAATATTTTACATTTTTGTTCTCTTTCCTTTTTTAATTTGCCTTGCCAGAGGTTTGTTGATTGGTCTTGTCAACTAATTGGGTTTTGGATTGGTTTCCTTTTGTACTGTCTTTCTGATTTGCTGTATTTCATCAATTTTGTGATGCATTTCTTCCTTCCTTCCCCTCACCCCTCATATTTTAACGTCTCTGAAACTGGGACGAATCTTTCAATTGATGATAAGAAACATTGTGACATTATTTATTTGGCAGCAGTTTTCCTTAGTGATAACATAAAATAATCATGCATTTTATGATAGATGACATCTTAAATTGGATGAAATAGGGAATTTCTGTGTTTGTCTTTTATAATTACTTTCTCCTTTTTTCTTAAGTTATCTTATTATTTCTTTTAACTGCTTGAGTTGAATTATTGGTTCATTTGAGTTTATACATTTTTTTTTCTACTTTAATAATGACAGTGGTTAAGGTTACGATTTTTTCTTTCGCTGTTGCTTTTTTATACCTGACACATTTTGATGTAATAGTATTCTCAGTAATATTCTTTTCATATTCTGTAATTATGGATTCCGTTTTTCTTTTATTCAAGAATGATTTAAGGTAGTAGTTTTTAATTTTCAAGGACTTGAGTTTCTTGCGGTTTTATTTAACAGTTTTATTGAGATATAATTTGTATATTATACAATTTATCTAAAGTATATAATTCATTGGTTTTTAGTTTGTTCACAGAATTGTGCAGCCATCACTACAGTCAATTTTAGAACCTTTTCATCACCCCAAAAAGAGACCTCAATCCCATATTTATTTGTTCATGGGTTGATGAACATTTGAGTTGTTTCAACTTTTGGACACCGTGAAGGACTTGGGTTGTTAAAAATAGTCTTCTCTCTAGTTTTTTTTTACATATATGATATATGTGCATTTTAGAAACACAAGGGGAGTCTGCACATATTTCTGTCCTTGATAGAGTAAGTTGTCAAAAATTATGTATATATTATAATAATATATTATTATTATATTATTATCATATATATATATTTTAATAATATAATTATGAGAGTAATTGGCGGTATTATAACTTCTTTTCAAGGCTCATTAAACATTTACAGAAATTGATCATCTATTAAGCCACAGGACTAATCTCTAATACTTTTTAAAACCTACAAGTTTATGACATTTTAAAGTTCATTGTGAAGTATCCTATACAAAATTGTCTTGCTTTTCTTTCTTTGTGTAATATTAATTCTGCAACTTCTGCTTTATATTTATTTATATTTTTTTGATGAATCTTTGACTATATTTTAGCTTTTAATATTTTTAAGTTGCTTTGTTTTAGGTGTGGTCTTTGCAAATACCATTTAGTTGGAAATTGCTTTTGAACCCAATCTGGGATCTTGCCTGTTAATTGGACAGTAGAACCTTTTCACATTTGTTGATTAACGGATTTGTTTAGTTGTATTCCATATTGTTGAATTGAATATCACTATGTTTTTTTCTTCATGCTTTCTTATCATTTCCTTAGTTTCTTCTTCTTTCGTGCCATGAAGTGCAGTGTCTTTCTACCTGGTGTCTATCTTAGAGCTACAAATGGAGGGAATGTTGATATGCACTACTCCCAAGCCCATTCCCACATTGCCCGAAGCTAGTCTGCTGCTGATGAAATTGATGTTATTAGAGTAAGGACTAGTCTAGTCCACTCCCTGCCGTGGCACTCTAGCATTGTTAAGGACAGCCTCTTCTCTCTAATAATAATGATCAGGAGAGCTGTCATTTATTTTCTGCCTTTTCTGTGCCTGTCACTGTGCTAAATGTTTTAATGCATCATCTCATTGAATGCTCACAATAACCCAGGGAGTAAGCAGAAGGGTTGCCTAGGGTCACATGACTAGAAAATGGCAGAACCAGGGCCTGGCATAAATGGTCTGCAGTAAAATAGCCTAAACTTTCTTTTCTTTCTCTTTTTAAATAATTTTGTTATGATAAAATATATGTATAATGAAATATTTGCCACATCAGCAGTTTTCATGTATCCAGTTCAGTGACGTTAGTTATAGCCATCGTGTCATGCAGCCATCACCACTACCTGTTTCTAAATCTTTTCATCATCCTTAATAGAAACTCAATAGTACCTCTTAAGCAAAACTTTCCCGTTTCCTTCTCCTACCTGCTCCTGGTAATCACCAGTGAACTGTTGTCTCTGTGCATTATTTGCCTATTCTAGATACTTCACTTAAGTGGGATTATACAATGTTTGTCTTTTAGTGGCTGCTAATGAAAAGGTTGGGGGTTTGAGTCTACCCAGAGTCGTCTTAGAAGAAAGCCTGGAAATCTACCGAAATACTAACCGTTGAAAACTTTATGGAAAACAGCTCTACTCTGAAACATAGCATTGTCATGAGTTGAAATCAACTTGATGGCAGCTTTTTTTTTTTTTATTATTTTTTAAAATTGTTTCACATTTCATCCATGTTGTAGCATGTATCAGACTTCATTTCTCTTTATGGCTGAATAGTATTCCATTGTAAGTGTACCACATTTTGGTTACCTATTCATCTGTTGATGGACATTTGCATTGTTTCTACTTTCTGGCTGTTGTGAAGCCTTAAGTTCTTGACACTGCCTTTTCCTGCCTTTTTACCTCCACTGTTTAGATGACCAGGAATACTCTTATGATTGCTGTCTCTATGTTCTTTGCCATTTATGAATTTTAGGTAGCCTCCATGGGTCACTGTATGAAGTGGGATGACTTATCTCTGCTCTTTCTTGTGATTTTCTTTCTTTCTGTGCACTTTCTTCTGAGACCTACTCAGTGGGTCTCTGCTGAGGAAATAATGACCAATACCATGTTACCAACTGACTGGAAGAGATCCATATTTGTGCCCATTCCAAAGAAAGGTGATCCCACAGAATGTAGAAATTATAGAACAATATCATGAATATCACATGCAAGTAAGATCTTACTGAAGATAATTCAGAAACGTTTGCAGCAGTATATTGATAGAGAACTTCCAGAGGTTCAAGCTGGATTCAGAAGAGGATGTGGAACAAGGGATATCATAGCTGTTGTCAGATGGATCTTGGCTCAAGGCAGGGAATACCAGAAAGATGTTTACTTGTGTTTTATTGACTATGCAAAGGCATTTGATTGTGTGGATCATGACAAATTATGGACAACATTGAGAAGAATGGGAATCCCCAAGCACTTGATTGTACTCATGAGGAATCTGTACCTTGACCAGGATGCTGTCGTTCGAACAGAACAAGGGGACACTACATGGTTTAAAATCAAGAAGGGAGTGCGTCAGGGTTGTATTCTGTCTCCACACTTATTCAATCTATATGCTGAGCAAATAATCCGAGAAGCTGGACTATATGAAAAAAAACGTGGTATCAGGATTGGAGGAAGAAT